TCGACAGCCCGGTCCTGCACAGCCTGCCCGGACGCGCCAACCCCGCCGCTCGACACCCCAATCTCGGTGAGTACTGATGCGAATACCGGAGCCAGATGGGGACCAGAGCAGAGGCTGTCCAGAGCCCTGTTTGGGACATTTAATTTTCACAGGGTGAGGAGTGTGTGTGTGGGGGGTTGTTATTACGCGTGAGTTTCCAAGCAAAGCAAACCAGAAAGGTAGAAGCTGGTGGCGTGGAGCGATGGTGGGGTGAAGGTCGCAGTCCCAAGGAACCCACATTCTGCCAAGTGAGGACAGGCTCGCCCTGAGAGGAGATCGCAGGTGTCTGTCGGAAGGAGTCCTCCGAGCAGCCCAGACGTCGGGGCTGGCTGAGCGCAGTGCGCCCGGGGCAGCGCCCGGCACGGTGCCTGCGGGAGGCGGACGGGCTCCGGGAGGGGAGCAGCCGGGAGCCCCCCCGGAGGACAGCGCTGGCGATCGCTGGGTTTCTGCCTCATTTCCTCCTGGCCCTCGCTCGGTCCTCCGCAGGGAACCGATTACGTCGGGCTTGGCAGCCAAGATCTCCTGGGCCATTTGTCGGCCCAGTTGGAGGATCCCTCGGGGTGGCAGATGATTTTGCTGCCGGGCTTTCACACCCGGAACAAAGGCGGGACCGGAGCGATGGAGATGGGTGGAACTGGGGCCGGCTTCAGGTGGGGGCCTCGGGGCCAGAGCGTATTTGTCGCTTTGCCGGGACCCAGGTGCCCAGGAGTATCTATAAAAGGCAGGCTGGTCAGTGTCCGGAAACAAGGAAAACTCAGAGAGGTTTCTTTAGTCATACATACCCGCCTTGAACAGAAAGTGACTTGAACGCAGACCGCCTCCGTATCCACGGGCTGCGGTTAGAACTAATCATCGTCGTAGCACAATGCAATATTTCATTTGAATGTCACACCTGGGAAAGACGCCAGACGCGTGCCCCCCTGCCCTGATTTATAGATGAACAAAATGAAATCTGAGAAAGGGCCTTGGTGCTTTGAGCTAGTTGGGGAAGGGAAGTGGCAACTTCTAGTTAAAAATGCAAACGACCTCGGGGCCACGCTAGGGTGTGGATGGCGCTGGCTCTTGTGGGGGAGGGGAGGCCCAGACTGGAGAAACAAAGTTAACATTTATTGACTACCTACTAAGTGCTAAATCCTTTCACATTTGTTCTCACTTTGAAGAGGAAAGCCTGTCCCTCCCAGGTTTCCAGTCTTGGGCTGGCTGGGAGAAGGACCCCTGCTTTGAAGAGCTTTTAAATTATTCTCTGACCCTGGGTGGCCAGGGAAGGTCCCCGGGGGAATCCAGCCAAATACACATCTCATGTGAACTGATTAACCGTGGAAGTGGCGCCGGAGCTGGGTCTGTGGCTCCTCGTTTCCCCCTCCCCCTCGCGGGGGAGCCAGACGGCACACCCCAGGGGAGGAGGGGGACCTCCGGAGCCTTTGGGAGGACCTGAGAGAGATAGCGCGCCCCACATCTCCATACAATGGCCGCTCCGGTGGTTGAGTGGGTGGGGTGGGGCACTTTGCCCTGCATTCTTAGAACTCTGGCTTTCTCTCTAGAACTTCTGTTTTAAAAGAGGTCCCTGGCTGGGTGGCTCAGTTGGTTAGGGCATCATCCAGAAATGCCAAGGTTGCTGGTTCCATCTCCAGTTAGGGCACATATAAGAATCAATTAATGAATGCAGAAATAAGCGGAACAACAGATCAATGTTTCTCTCTTTCTCAACTAAATAAAAATAAAATAAAAGGGTCCCCTAATTCCACTTCTTTTAACTTGGAGGTGGTGTGGGGAGGTTGATTCCTAACCCCTATAATCCTGGAGGAGAATTTGGTGTTTGGTTAGGGGGAAAAAAGAGGTCAAAAGCTAAAAATGGGGGATACTTCCTGGATCATCAGAATTACAACTGCAACCATGCAGAAAACAAAAACGGTGTACTCACATCCCACCTCCAAGTTAAAAGAAGTGGAATTAGGGGACCCTTTTATTTTATTTTTATTTAGTTGAGAAAGAGAGAAACATTGACTTATTGTTCCACTTATTTATGTGTTCATTAATTGATTCTTATATGTGCCCTAACTGGAGATGGAACCAGCAACCTTGGCATTTAGGATCTAAATACTCAGGCAGTGAGTATTTAGATCCTAAAATGTAGCCCATACCAGTCAGGAGGGTGTTGAAGAAGTAATGTTTCCCAAATTGCAATGTCAACAGATGGCAAGCTGACCTCCAAAGAGTGCTCTCTTGCCAAGAAGTGTGGCTGTCTTCCCAGCACTCTGCTCTGTCCCACCAGCTCAGGAAGTCCCACCTGAAGACAGCCCTTGGGTCTGGTCTAACAACTTGATTGTCTCTTCTGCACATAGCCACGTGTTTTAAATGGGCCAGTCATGAAAGATTCCGTGTTATAATTGTGAGGGAACATGAGGCAGGTTGAATTGGTTGGCATTCACATCTTCAGGTGGCACTTAGATATAAGCAAGTTAGGGTAAATGGGTGTTTTTTTTAAAAAATTTTTTTTATTGATTTCAGAAAGGAAGGGAGAGGGAGAGATAGAAACATCAATGTTAAGAGAGAATCATTGATAGGCTGCCTCCTGCATGCCCCCCGCCCCCCTAGGGGTGGAGCCTGCAACCTGGGCATGTTCCCTTGACCAGAATTGAACCTGGGACCGTTCAGTTCATAGGCTGATAGTCTATCCACTGAGCCATACCAGCTAGGGCATGGGTAACTGGGTTTTATATGTTCCTCCTATCACGTGGATCCTCCTGAAAATGCCTGGTAGCTTTCTCAAGACCAATCCTGGCACATTAGCTGGCAGTGACTGATAGAAGGATGATGATAAAGAAGTACTGAGAAATTCTGCAGTGTTTACTGAGAGCTTGCTGTGTTGCCACCAGGCCCTAAGATGGCCATATAGCGTGATGGTGTGACTCAGGCAAACCTAGATTCAATTTCACATGTCCCTGTGGTCTTGGTTGGGCAAGTTACTTACCTCTCTCTGTCTCCTCTCTTTTTCTTTAGAAAAGGATAATGCACCTACTTTTAGTGTTCTCTTAAACAAGAAAAATAAGGTAATGTTTGTGCAGTACTTGGCCCCTCATTAACGATGGCTATTCCATTAAACAGTCTCACACGCTCATGTAGAGTGACCAATTTTCCTGATTTGCTCAGGACTGAGGGGTTTTCCAGGACTTGGGAATTTTAATGTTAAACCTAGGACAGTCCCTAACAAAGGAGGATGGTTGGTCACCCTAAACAGACATGAAAATGGGTAAGTGACCCAGCAGCATGCTACAGTAATGAGCTCAGAGCAAAGGAGAGAAGAAAGAGGTTGTACTTCCCTTTGTCTAGGAATCTGGAAGCCTTCCCCTAAGTGGTGCCATTGGCCTTGAAGGTTGAGTGGGAGTTTGCCAGGAAAAGTACCTGCAAATTGAAAAGAAAAAAGAAGCCCTGGCCGGTGTGTCTGAGTGGTTAGAATGTTGACCTGCACACTGAAGGGTCACCAGTTTGATTCGGGTCAAGGGCATGTACCTGGGTTGCAGGTTCAATCCCTGGCCCCAGTTGGGCAAGTGCAGGAGGCAACCAATCATGTGTCTCTCTCAACATCGATATTTCTCTCAGTCTTTCCCTCTCTCTTCCACTCTCACTAAAAATCAATGGAAAAAATATCCTTGGGTAGGATTAACAGGAACAACAAAAATAGACAGGTTGAACGTTTCTCTCACATCGATGTGTCTGTCTTTCCCTCTCTCTACTCTCCCCCCTTTCCACTTTCTCTGAAAAAATCAATGGAAAAATATCCTTGGTTGAGGATTAAAAAAAGAAGAATAAAAAGAAAAAAGAAAAAAGTTATGCCCATTTTACTATCACACTGTAGTACCATGAATCATACAACATAGCTTGATATTTATCACCATAGGTAAAACCACACAGACTAACTCGTCCTTCACTCCAAAACTGTTTGTAATTTTAATGAGGAAAAATAAGAACACGCCTTTATTTTTCTATAATATGAATCTCCTTAGTATTAACAATATCTTGTCAGAATACTTACGTTGGATTTTTAGTAAGGCAAAAATCAAAGTAATAAAAGCTAATAGGGGCCTCTGTAAAGCCCTGCGCTTAGGTTGGAAGGAATTTTTCTACCCTGACTGCAATGTATATGAACTTAATTCATTCCAAGTTCAATATGAGCCTTGACCCTAAAACAACAATTGAAATCGTTAATTAGGCTGCATTAATGGAATTATGTGACCTTAGTGAGGGCAGGTACAGAGTCTTACTCATATTTAAGTGCCTGGCACATGCCAGGCACTTAGCAAATATTTGAGAAGAGATCTAGGAGGCAATTGCCTCAGTCCTCTGCCCAGGTCAAACTGCACACAATGGCCACTGAGGAGGCCAACTGGGGAGCCTCAGAAAAGAGTGAGCACTGTGGGAGAAGGTTCTGGAAACTTTGGGAAACCACTGGAACTGTTGAGATTGCAGAAGTCACGGGGTGGATACGTGAGGGTGAGAGTGACTGTGTACACAGATATCGAAAAGGCAAACGTCTGTGGCCTTCTAACCTTGTGCTGCTCCAGGTGAGCCGGTATTAAGTTTGAGAACACTTTCTCACACTTGATTGTAGTTGTTGAAATGGAATAGGGGACATGGTTTGTCTTAATAATAAACCCCTGGGCACTGAAAGTCCTGAGACTGCGTTGCCATCGGCCAGTGGAGCTGTGCAAGGAATTCTTGCGTTTTATGTTGCAGGTCTGTGTTTGTGCTCATGTGAAATAGCTATAGTAGGGTAATGTACCTGCCTTCTTTTAATCACAGTGGTTACTCAGGTAGAGCAATTTGTCAAAACTGGTGGAAAGGTACTATTAATAAAACGAGTATTTTCTTGCACGTACATTACAACACAAAGTTGGTTTTTGTACCAATTAATGCTTGTAAATACATAAGGCTGAAAAGGGAACAATGGAAATTATATGAAAATATGCCTTGAAGGAAATGGCATTTTGGTAGATGTTACTGGAAACACTATTAAAATATAATTTATT